AGCAAAATAATCATACGTAATGATCATACGACAATGAAGGCATAGGTTTGTTTGGATTATATGTTCTAGTACTCTGGAACCATTTTCTAACACTGTCGAATAACACTCCCATTCTCTGAGCAAGTGTTTCCAATTTATTTCTTTTCGGGTATGGAGTTTCCTCAAACACCTTTACTAACTCGTTCCGCTGATCATCCATGAATATCCTTCTGCTGTTCCACATTTCATTCAGCGGCATTTCTGTTTCACTTGTGTGATCGAATTCAGAACCCATTTTTTCCTAAAATAAGAGCATATTAAAAATAGTAACAGAAATTATTCTAGTATATACAATAAGAATATTATTTTAGACCGTACATGTATATATATATATATATACCATATTTGTAGTCATTTGGATTGCGTGCCGAAAATTTTAGAGGACTTGAAAGCACTGCTAAATTCCTAAATTTCACAATTAAATTTTGATGTTTAAAAAGTATCTAATAAAGTCATCATAATATGTTCAAAATAATTGATTCAAAAACTTCAATATATGGATCTATAATACTAATAATAATAAGTCATTTTAATAAAAATTGCAGTGTTTATATTCCATATAGTATATAATGATTGAAGGGCTTACTGTAACAGTGAATTAATCTACATTTAAAAAAAGAACCTTATTTGAGAACAAATAGTAAAGCTTGCAATTCATATATTTCCAGTAACGCAAGTCCAGGTTAGCCCATTATTGCAATAAGTAATAACTTTCAGTTTATTGAGTTATATGTTGTAAGAATTACATATCATTTGTATTCTAATCTATTCCAAGAGTAGTAAGAGCCGATCGAAAACGCCATGGTTACTTTACAGCTAACAAATAGTTTCTTTAGTTTTGTTTGTTTGCAGTATTTGCTCGCAGTTCCAAATTTAAATTCATCGAGTATAGATCAAAAACTATATCATTTCATTCTTCTTAGGAAGAAACCAACTTAAAACTTATATACTTAAAAACAAAAAACATTCACAATCGCATCTACTTTAATACTAAAGTGCATATGATTAATGCTGTATATCTGATATAAAATGTTATGATCCACTATAAATTTTTATAATCGTGTTAGAAATGTTAAGGATAATCGCGAAAATCAAAATGCGATGGCACAAAAGATGGTTGTGTTATGCAACAGATTTTCGTTCTTTAATGTACCCCTGTTTCATCTGTAGTCGAATTCTGGGAATATTTCCGTACAAGTTCAACATTTCGACTTTCGAGTTTTCGAAATCGTATTATATCCTATCAACCATTATTATCTGTATTTTGTGTGTTATAAACCTTGTATTCATTGACAATATTATTAAATCAAAACTAAATAGAAATCTGATTTGGATTATTCACGCTGTTATATACTATGTTCTCACCAGTTTTATAGTGATTATCACACATTTTCTGAGTGGTCCGCGAATGCGCCTGCTACAGACAATAATGGAGGTTTCTTCGAAAAGATTTCGAAATTACACTCGAAATCGTATCAAAAACTGTCCAGATTGATCCACGTTAAGGATATATTGAGTAATATCATTAGAGTTGTGCAATTAACTATAATTTTGTCTAAACTGGAGTTAGAAGACAAGTTTTTCACTATCCTGATTGAAATATCTACAATATATTTTGGCCTGTCGGTATTACAAATAATTATGTTATATATAAATTGTGTTTGTATATTAAAAGCATGTTTTAAGAGAATCGATGACAATCTGGTTCATATGCAAAAGATTGTAATAAATGATATGAAGCCACGTGTCTCCAATGTAATATGCCACACGCAGAGAAATCAATTTTTGCTAATAGAACTTAGAATTTTGAAAAAGCAACATCTAATGATTTGCAACGCGGTACAAATGCTGAATATAATCTTCAATCTGCAACTCCTTGCTGCTTTAGTCATGTCTTTTTTAATTGTCACCTTCGAATTGTATTCCTACACAATACGTTGGCAAAATGGAATACTTATCGGATTGGATTGGCACTTTTTTGATGTGCTTGTAACATCTCTGACATATAATATTTTTCAAATAGTATTAATTGTGTGGGCCTGCGAGACGGGTAAGAATCAAGCCCAAAATATCGGTACTACCATTCACGATTTACTTAATAGTACCAATGATAAGAAAATCAAATATGAGGTAGTTACATTATGATGTTATCTATACAATTTTTTGTAATTATGTTAATGCTAACACAATCTTTTTATACATCAAATCTACTGAAATCTATATATTTTTTTCAATTTTATGTATTTTTTCTTGTATTTCTTGTATTTTTTCTTGTAATTATTTTTTTCTAACGTTTAACTATCATATCTTTCTAACATTGCAGTTGCAACTATTTTCTTTACAATTGTTACACCGTAAAAATATATTTTCGATGAAAGGTTTGACTATAGATGCGACGCTTCTTGCAGTAGTAAGTAATCAATTATGCTATAAAAATATTAAAATATCTACTATATTATATAAATTTTTGTTTTACTTTAGATAGTGGGGAATATTACTACGTACTTGCTAATCTTCATACAATTTTTAAACATGTCACATTCTTGCGACAGAGAAGCAGCAATTAATGTTACACAAACTAATTAGAAGTATACATAAAGTGATAAAAAATGTTTTTAAATATATGAAATATTCTGTTTTGTCATTGTTAATAAAATGTAATATGCAATGTTTTATATTTTTATAGAAATTTTTCGTTAATATGTTATGTTCATATATGTAATTGATTCAAAAATTTCAATAAATGGCTCTACAATATGTAATAATCATTTTAGTAATAATTTAGTATCCTATTATAAATTGATCAGTACTAATGAACGATATCTTAAAGTTATTATTTATATGAATATGGCAATTTCTTTCTATGAACACACATAAAGGCTTACTAACAGAGATGCAAACCAATATTTTAAAGAAATCTGAGATAAATATCAGGTCATACATGCATTTTCAATCGCACGTTCGATTGTAGGTTAATCCATTAATGCGATGAGCATTAATAGACTAATCATTTGAGTTTATTGAATCATATGTTATAAAAATTATCATTTGTATTAATCTATCCCAAGAGTGATTAGTGTCGATCGAAGAACACTACTTCACGATTAACAAACGATTTTGTTTCTTTGCTGCATACATTGCTCGCAGTTTTAATTAAATTTTTAAATTTAAATTCATCGAGTATAGATAAGATGCAAAAACCGTATTAATGCATATATTTCTTATTAAAAGCCCAACTTAAAAATTACTTGGAAAAAGAAGTTTTCCTAACCGCATCTAATAGCATTTTAATGCTAAAATATATGCATTAATAATATTGTATATTTTTCAAATTGTTACGTTTTCCTATAAATTTTTCTAATCGTGTTCGATTCGAAAGATGAAGGACAATCGCGAAAAACAAAATGTCGAAAAGATGGTGCTTGTATAATGCAATGGACTTTCAATCTTTAATGTATCCTAGTTTCACTTGGAGTCGCATTCTCGGACTATTTCCGTACAAGCTCAATGCTTCGACTTTCGAAGTTTCGAAACCGTACTTATATATTTATTCTGTCAACAGTAGTTATCTGCGTGTGCGGTGTTACGAATTTTGCACTTATTTATAGTATTATTAAATCAAAAATAGATTTTGGAGATGTAATTTGGAATATTCACATTGTTATATACTATTTTCTCACCAGTTTTATAATGATCATCACGCATTTCCTAAGTAGTCCGCGAATGCGCTTGCTACAAACAATAATGGAGATCTCTTTGAAATTATCCTCGAAGTCGTATCAAAAACTGTCCAGATCGATCCATGTTAAGGATATATTGAGTAATGTCGTCAAAATTATGCAATTAAGCATAAAAATGTCCAAACTATTGAAGGCTCAAGATAATTTTTTCGCTATTCTGTTTGGGCTATTTACAATGTACTTTGCCTTGTATTCATATATAAAGTATTTATATATATAAAGTATATTTAAATTGTTAGAAAATCTCGCGTCTGAATCGTTATGTGTAATGAGATATAAAAAATAATCTTCTAAATCACGTATCTTGTATCAGAGTCGTGATTTTTCAAAGAAAAGATAAGTTTCTTGAAATAGATGATAGGAATAACTGCGGTAATATAAGTTCATATGTTCATTCAAGATAATTATATTAAATGGACAATATAAGAATATTCACGTAGCAGTTTTATGTTCAGTCAATGCAGTCGTTCTGTCATAATCATAATTATATAATTTGTTTTTATATTACAATACAAAGCAAAGTTTAATATTTTTAGACATAATTGTCAATCTTTAATGTTGTTAGACTTTTTTATTAGCATCTATAAGATCAATATATCTAATAGAAATACCAGTCATTGAAGCAGAAATAGAATTAAAAGAACACATACAAAAATTATTGTTGGATAGCATTTTTCACTATAATGGGCTAGAAGTAACAGAAAAATCTATCTCTATTATCAAGAATAAACTACATAATTTTGAAATAATTGAAGATGACGAAGAAGCATAAAATGAAGATAATTTAAATTCTCATCCTCAATTTTCAAATGATGACGCAGACTTTGACAGTTCTTATAAAAGATGAGCTGTTAAGTATTGATGAAATTAGGATATTAATGAAAAAAATAACAATAAAAGGAATCGTCCGCTAAAATCAGTGCAAAATAAATTTAGAGAAGTTTCATCTGAACGTCAATTAAGACGATGGGAAGAACAATTATATTCAAGTAGAAATTGTATAGAAAAATTATCTTGCATCTTCAAATTTACACATGATAAATTTACAGCTGTTGAATCAGATTTATAGTTCACGATATCGATTTACAAAGATAGCCATTACAAGCTCTCAAGAAGAAATAGAAAATTTAAATTCTATATTCTCACAGTTGGGTATTAAGATTCAAAAAGTCTTACCGAATTGTTTCGAGAAAAATTACGAAATTTGTAACTAGAAGAACAATAGAAAATTCTATTAATTTGTAAAATACAGCTGATGATTTTCTGAAAACAGTGAACTCACTCATCGAACAGTTTAGATCTGAAAATGTTTTTAATTCTGATCAAAGTGATTTCCAATTGGAAATTCATTCTGAAAGATCATTGTCTAATCAAGGAATAAAGAAAGTAGAATGTTGTGCAATCTGGTATATCATCAACAACATATTCATACAACCAATAATATCATATAATGGAAATTTGTTGTCACCATTGTTTATTGTATTAAAAGAAATTAATGATATATTTGGACCAAGAGTACAAGAAATTTTATTTACACCAATAAATGTTATTGTAAAAGCATCTAAATCTGGTAAAATGACTTCAGGTAATTAAATAATTTCCTTTCACAACAGATTTTTAGATACTGTTTTATTTTAAAAAGTAAATATAAATTTGCATAAACGAAATAATAAAATTATAATCTCTATATCATTTCTATGATATATTTTATATTTTATTTAAGAATCTCATAACAGTCGTAAAATAGTTATTAATTTAACATTTATATTTCTTACAGATTATTTTAAAATAGTGATTAGAAGAAGCTTGTTTTCTAAACATTCTAATAGCGTTCTTCTTATCGATTCATTTGGACTGGACATTGTCCCAATATTATTTCAGATTTAACACCTGTAGGAAAATATATTACTACTATAATTATACCGAAAGACATTACAGGAAAAATACAACCATTAGATGTTTACGGATTTATAATTTAGAAAAATTTGTTAAAAGGTTTTCAAATATTGTTTTACTATTGGAAAATAATATAAATTTACATGAAAGAAATAATATAATAAAATTACAATCTCTGATACATAATCAATT